CACACACACACACACACACACACGCACATACACACGCACACACACATACACACACAAACAAACACACACATATGCGTATTGGACTCTATTCTCAACATGTCCAAAACTTTGCTAAACTCTTTCTCAGTGGCCCAAAACAGGCAGAATAACACCCCCTCCCGCTCACAAAAACCCCTCCCAACAAAAATACCCCCTCAAAACAATAATTCTGCCCAACTTTAGAATGGATTTCTTTTTCATAATTAAAAATTATATCTACCTCTCAAAGGATAAAATGCAAAAAAAGCAACAAAATGAACTTACCAGCACCAAAACAATTATATTTGTAGATTTTCAGTGACTTCAGTCCCAATTCGACGACAAGCACAACATTTTAGTGTTTTTCATCAATAGCTAACATTCTGCTTCGTCATCATCACAGCTTCACCACATAGATATCAAACACATCTTCAGTTCAGCATGAATCCCACATAATAACAACACAATCAGAGGCAGCCGCACATTTCACAAGTGACATCAGAATAAAGAGATGTAAGTGTGGCCTTGAGCATTGGGAATCTCAAGATATAATAATACTCACAACAACAGACGTGTGAAAAACCCGACCCCAACTGGCCCTGGACAGAGTGTCATGAGGTGCAAAAAATAAGACCTGATAAGATAAACATTCAGAGAACATTCAATCTGTACATGAAAGCACATGATATGACAATAACGGGCATCTTGTGTTGTTGTAGTAAAATTTTTACGGCACTTGCAACACAGTGAGGTCATGAGCCGAAGATTAGAGATGCTACAAGAGAGCTACAAACATGAAAAAAAAGGAGAAGAGATCAGGATGATAGATGTTTGATAAGAAAGAAGGGGCAAACCACCCCAGAGCACCCACCAACCATCCACAGCATCTCGTGCGGCACGGGAGAACATGCTGATTTACTTCACAAAACAAAAGACAAACGCTGGTAGTTGCTGGTGTACATTGCTCCTTCAACCACTCTATGGTTATTCAAGAGGTGGGACCTTTGAGTTCAACGCCCACCTCCAAAGGTCAGAGACGACTAGTCGTTACCTCAGAATTACAAAGTTCTATCTCACATTTTTCGCCGTTTTGAGTTGTTACTAAGACCATGAGGTCAGAAACCAAATGTTCTATCTGCTCTATCAAAATAGTAGTAAAATTATTCGGAGTCGATATCAAGATATTCAAAGATTTGCACTAAAAAAAGCTTGATGTTTGATATTTTTCACGTCAAATTTCTCAAAACTAGGTACTGAGCAGTTAGAACTTTGTAATTTTAGGGTAGCAGCCAAGTAGGAGCAGAGCTTTGAAAACTCCCCAGGGGCAAACAAAACAAGGCATTTGAACAAAGGGCATCTTCACCATAGCCCAGTGTCATATACAACAAGACAAACAGGAACAAGACCACTGAATAAACACATGCAGTCTAGTCACGCCAAGTCAATGACTGTCTCAGATGTCATGTACTACAACTGTTTGTACATGAAAGAGCAAAACCAGCAAAAATAATCTCATGAAAACGCAACTTCAGTGTTCCAGTTCCCCATATCTCTCCAACTCGACCGTGATATTATATATGAGTACATATAATCTCATACGAAACAAACGGAAGCAACCACACATCTCTCATCATACGTGATCTCTGCATAATCTCATAAAACCCAGCTACTAGTTACTTCACATCGTACAAACCAGTGTTTGTGCAGCATCACCTCACTGACATAATGGGGCCGCTGCAGTAGACGTAGAAGTAGACAGGGTAAGTAAGTCAGTCACTGATCTCCCCAGGTATGGACCACAATGTGCTGGCAGAAACAGAGGACCACATGGGAAAACTAACCACAGAAGACAGCCCACATCATGGTTGTAAACGTTTTCTGTCTCCATGACATGGAGTAGCTTATCTTGGAGTCAAGTTGACAAAGGCCTACTGCAACCACAAACACATACACACACACACCGAAATACACACACATACATTGTCAACCAAGCTCACATATACTTCTCTATTTTGATGTACAACACATTGACGGTGTAATATTAATATGAACATCCTAATCAGAAGATTTACTGATAAACATTAAAAAAATCATCAGAGATGAATTCATACAGTAAAAATATAACAAAGAACAAAAT